TGAATTTCAAATGTGTTTTATTTAACTCAGTTTATCTAAAATATCATTCCAACATGTAATCAATACAAAAATTAGTAAGATATTTTAAAACCTTTTCGTACCACATGTTGAAAATCGGCTGTGCACTTCATATCTGCAACACAAGTCAACTGGACTCACCACAGTGCAAATCACCAATAGTCTATGTGACCTGCATGTGACCACTTTGAAAAACAGAGATCCAGAAAATAGTTCTTACTTCCTTAAAACTGATAGCATTTTGATAGGGAAAACTTTTATAAATAGCAAAAACCTATAAAGTGCTACAAGGTAAAATGGCGTCTGCTATCTCTAACAGCAGTTTGCTTTGTTTAGCTCAAAACTAATAGGCACCGAAGGCACTAACTGCTGAATGAGGCATTTGGTCTTACCCTGAGATAACAGGGCACGTCAAGGTCTTGAGCTCCAATGAGACTGGAGCCACATGATCATAAAAGTGTCTAAATGAAAGAACCCATTGCTAACATTTGCTCCCCTGACGCTGAACACCCCCCTTTCCTATGGACTAGACTAGATAACTAGGCAAATCTTAAAGGTAAGCTCCCCAACTGCAAAGAACTGTTACGTCTGGGTTGAAAAGATTAACTATTCTGTGACTGTGATTTGAACTGTAAGAATGAAATGTAACCACCCAAATGAAGTCAAGGCTATCAAACCCTATAAAAGGAGGAGTTGTAACCCAGTGTGTCATTGATCCAGGCACGGCTTACGTGCAATGGACCCTTATTGATAAGTAAATTTATTATTTTACTTCCATTCTGCTGCCTGTGTGTCACTTACTGATTCCTTCCGTAACAATCTTATTACTGGGATATTTAAAATGTAAGGTATAATTCTGAAATATTTTCTTGCTTTCTGAAAGTTAGTTTATCAACAACTTGATAAGTTGACTTCCTTAATAGAAATTTTTTGGGGGCCAGGGGTTTTAGTTCAGTGGTTCCATCGCCTGCCTCACAAGTGCAAGGGCCCGAATTTGATCCCCTGTACCAAAAAAAGAAGAAAGGAAAAAAATTTTTCACATTTCATAGGAATTTACTCATTCTTTTTTTTTTTCATTAAGTTTATTCATACATTTTAGGTATACAATACAGTTATAGTCATCACTGGGAACTGGTGCCTTTACATGATGTATCTTGGTTCTTATTTTCTCCCCATTCCCCTGCCCTCCCTTCAATTCATCTACTCCACCCTATTTATAAAGCCTTTGCTTCCATTTTTTCCTACTGGTTATTTCTTTGTGGCTAGATTCAGGAGGGCTCTGGTAAGGTGTTGAGATTGTGAGGAATGCTGAAGAGGGCTGTAGGAAAGAGGAGCAATAGATAAAGAGGTCATAGAACAAGAAGCTGAAGGCTGCACAGGACACCAACCACAAAGGGACAGTCAAACTGGGCGTGGAGGTACACACCCATAATCCCAGCATTCTAGGAGGCTGATGCAAGAGGATCACAAATTCAACCCCACCCTAGGTAATTTAGCAAGATCTAGTCTCAAAATTTTAAAAAGGCCTAGTGAGGGCTGGGGATTTAGCTCAGTGGTGCCACTGCCTGCCTCACAAGTGCATGGTCCTGAGTTCGATCTCTAGTACCAAAAACAAAAAAAAAACAACAACAAAGGCCTGGTGATATAGTTTAGTATAAAGGCCATGGGTTCAGTCCCCAGTAAGAGGAAGGGGGAAAAAAGGGACCACTGACAAGGGGATGCTACTTTCCCCATTGGCTCCCCAGTGGCCAAGGAGGATAGGTATAAGTGACCACGAGATTGAGTGTCTTTGTGATGATGGGCCTGACTTGGAAGAGGTTCCCAGCAATGGCGGTGGTATGAAAAGGTCTCCACACTCTTCAAGGTCTTTGTGGTTAACAGCTGCCAGTATCCCATAAACAGAACATGCTTTAGTGGTTATGGAAAAGGTCAAGCTTCCAAAATATCTCACTCCTGATGAGAACAGAAGCTCCACTTAGCTGGATGAGAAGCTCATATTGGTTGTTTTGCTTTGCTTTGCTTTGCTTTGCAGTACTAAGAAACTGAACACTAGGACACTCTATCACTGGGCTACATCCCCAGCTTTTTCTTATTTTTTTACTTTTCAGAAAGGGTCTAAGTTACCCAGGTGGGACTGAACTTCCTCCTGCCTTAGCCTCTGAGTTTTAAATTACAGGAGTGTGCCATTCCTCCTCAGTGGTTGTTACATAGGTAAGAGAAAGTGACTCCGTGTCAGACTTCGGATCCTGCTCCTCACCCTATGAACTTCTCGGCACCATCCTAAGGACTCAGCTTGGAAGTGTCCTGTGGGTGGCCCCAGTGTTTTGATTCCTCCCGGCCTACTGGTCATCGCCTCAGCTGAGCTTGCCCAGGTCCCCAGAAATGGAACAGTAGTTTCAGAAAGGGCCCTAACATTGCTTTGACATATCCAGAGATAAATCAGGATGCAGCTGTGATCAGCTGGGACTCTGTTCAGAGAAATACAGCTGTGCTTTATGAGAGATAAAAAGGAGTTAGTTCAAGGCTACAGAAGTCCTCTCTAGCCCCATATAATAGACAGGGTGAAAGCTACAAATAGAAAAGAGAAAAAAAATAAGGTTGGGGACAAGTAAAAAGATATATATTTTTTTAATTTTAAAGATACATAACAAACAAATGTAATGCACAAATTCTGACTAGAAGCTGAATTTTTTAAAAAGTTACAAGAGACGTTTTAGAATACACAGAGAAATTTGAATGGAAGTGGATATCTGATATACACAAGGACCATGATTTTCCCAGAAGTAACAGTGGTAAAATGCGGGGCAGAGACCCTCTTCCATTTAAGTGACACATCTTCCAAAGCCCAAGACTGAAGAGCCGCCAAATCCACTGCCAAATTCAAATTCCACCCGCAAAGGCCAACCCCGCCACACACATATGTAATTAAGCAGATACAGGAGAACAGTAGCTGTTTGGGTAGGCTGCTCAAATATGGATGTGCATTATTCAACTCTTCCAACTTCTGGGCAAGTTTTCTAAATTTCTTATTTAAAAGTTGGAAAAAATACCAAACCATGAGGTCAGCTTTGAAACAGGAGTAAAAACAATGGAGTATGACAGATGGCACCAATTTCACAGTGAGGCCAAAACCATGCACAATCTGTTACCTATAAATGAGGATGTTAAAAATGTTAGGATATCAAGGAAGGTTGAAATCTGTTATTTTCAGCAGTGAGTTACTTGATCAAAAGTGCATGAAACATCACTAGCTACTGATTTTAAAAAATAACAGCAGAGGGCTATAGGCACAGTTCCTTGGTAGAACATTCACCTAGCATGCATCTAGCCCTGGGTTCAATCCCCAGCATACTCCCTCCACTGACGCATAACACACACACACACACACAGAGCAATACATATTCATAGAAGAAAGTCCAGAAAAGAAGTATATAAAGTACATATGAAAGCTGTGTCTCCTCCTCATCTCTTTCTGTGAAAACATACAGACAGGTTCTATGAAATGAGAAGGGTTACCACTTCCCAGCATCCATTCACACCAGGCTCTATGCTTTCCACTCCACTCAGTTCATTTTCATAACCGTTTACTGCAGATGTAACGGGCACCCTACCCTCATTTAGAGGGAAAAACCCTGAGAGTGTGACTGTGTAGCTTCATAAAGCAGCCATGTGCCACTCTACAGGGAAGATGTGCCAACCAAAAAAGTTCTGCCAGGGGCCAGGCTTAGCATGTGTGAGAACAGAAGAGCTTGTGGGGCTGAGCAAACCCCCAAGAGGAGTCTGGATGCAAGGAGGAGCCTTCTTGGGAAGTATGAAGGTATCCAACCTGAGATGGATTAAGTGGGAAGGATGAAACCTCTGGGAAACAATTCTGACTAAAGCTAGAGTGCTGCACTAGACCCAAAGCCAGCCACACCTTCCATGTCCGGAACATAAAAATCCCTTTATAGACCAGTATCTCTCAACAGCAATATACAAGCTGGTCACAGTGGCACATCCCAGCTACTTGGGAGGCTGAGGCAGGAAAATTACTGGTTTGAAGACAACCTGCACAAAAAATAAAAGATCAAAAGAGCTGGGGATATAGCTCAGTGGTAGCTAGCATGCATGAGATGAGGCCCAAGCTTCAATCCCCAGTACTAAAAAAAGAAAAAGCTCCTTTAAACAGCAATGTACAGATGCCCTACAGGAACTCACACATTCACAAACTCTCCTGCCTAAAGGCTACACTCCCCCTGTAGATGGTCTCCCAAATCAAACTGTGGGTGTCAAAATCAGAGAGCAGGGCTCTGTGATAAGCTGCTCTCCTGGTCAAGTAAAATTATTACTTTACCTCATAAAATTAAAAATAAACTAGTTATAGCCCCATAGACCCAATGGATGCCAAAGTGGAGCTGGGTTTGGGATGCATAACTGAGTAATATTCCTTTCTGTCCTATAACAGACGGGCGGGCCAGGCGGTATCCTTCACCAAGGAACACAGTGACCTTTGACTGAAGAGAGGCTACGCCATGGTCTCTTCATTCTGTAAGCCACCAATCTTATATTTCCCCCACTTTTCACTAAGAAATAAGTTCAGGGAAAGCTGGGGACACCTGCCTGATAGCCAAACTAGCTTTGTCTGCCCTGGCAGTTGGGCAAGGTCAGATATTGCAATCACCCCAGATGGGAAGGACAAGGGAGGAGAGCAGACATGTGCTCTGGTCTCTCCCGTCAGGGGAGCAGTACAGCTACTCATGGTGCAACCCGGCCCCTGGAACTCTACTAGTGCCTTGGTTATGCCGCGTGAGAGCCACTCCTGTGCCCAGGCTGTGTGCACTTCATCAACACTGCAATAGTCACATTCAAAACCTCAGCAGAAACAGCACTGGCGTCTAAGCTGCAATCAAAGACCCTGCTGAGGGAGTTTGTGCTGACAGAGCTCGTTGGGTCGTGTTTGGATTGGGACATATTTACTTTGGAAAACATGCAGCAACAGTCTAGCACCAAAGTTCACATCAAAACCTCACTGGGGGCCCTGGTTGGTTTCATCTCTGCAACTCCACTTCTCAGAAGCGCAGAGGTAAGTTCCGTTTCTAACATATCTACAGATTATAAATTCTTATTTTTGGTGGTTGGAGATTGGCAACTGGTTCCTTTATGGAAATATAAATTTAGAAGCTTTCTACACTGCCTAAGAATCGAGAAAATGTTCTTATTTTTTTAATCTGTCTACTATAAAGTTCTAACAGTTACATTATTGGGACAACTAACAAAAGTGGAATAAAAACTGTAGAAGAAGTTAAGATACTATTTCAAATTATTCAAACTGGATAACCGTTCTATGATTTATGTATGGAACATTCTTTTTTTTTTTTTTTTTTTTTTGGTTTTTTGAGATAGGGTCTCACTATGCAGTTGCGACTGATCTGGAACTCACTATGTAGCCCAGGCTGGTCTCAAACTCACAGCGATCCTCTTGCCTCACCCTCCTGAGTGTTGGGATTACAGGCATGCACCACCACGCCCAGTTTTTGGGTTTTTTTTGGGGGGGGGGTTGAGAACATTCTTGGTTTTGGAATTTTTCCCTAAAGTGTTACAAATAAAGGTTAGAGAGATATGACATAAGAGACCTAATTTTAAATGATTCAGAAAATAACATATGTTTGTGTCTGTAGGAGTACGTATATATTTATATATACACACACACACATATAATGGAGAGATAAGAATAAATAAAATGTTCCAAAATATAAAAATATGGTGAATCTAGGGAAAGGAGTTGCTTTAGTGCTCTGTTGTTTTAAGTTTAAATTATTTCAAAATAAAGTTTTCAAAACTGCAAGGAGCTACCTCTCCATTTCTGCCTACTCTGTTTGGCCCTGGAGACAATGAACTGAGAGGGCCAATGGTTTTCAGGCATCCCGCTCTGATGCATGGCCAAAAAGGACAACCTCATGCCAAAAGAAAGTGCCATGTGTTTCCAGAAAAACAAACTATGTAATTTATCTCAAAACTATTGCTTCTCTTCAGACTGTAATTGGATTTAAATATAATCTAGAGATAGTTTTTAAATGCCTCATTATTTTTATTATACTAAATAGCAAAACAGTAAAAGATTTAACTTTTTAGATCTTTAATTTCTCAATCCATAGAAAATATCAGGTATTTTCTCTCTGGCAAGGAACAAATGAAAAGTTTTTTGGCTTTTCATCAAACAAATGCAGGAATAGGGTATAAGCACTTACAAATACACTCTCTGAATACTGAACAAGAACATGTACTGCCTTCCTGTGTGACCTCAGATTCATTTTCCTGAACATTTACTAATTTGTTAGTTTTTGTTTTGTTCTTTAACCTTTTTTTTGTTTTAAAAATAATTTTTATTTTTTTAAAGTTAATATATGTTTGTTTGTTTTTTTTCAATCTGTGGAGAATACTTAAGTGCAAGTGAGCCAGGAGACTTCTACTAAGTTGCTCATTTTCCTTTCTTTTCCCAGTACCAGGAATCAAACTCAGGACCTCGGCTCAGGCACAGAGCCACTGAGCTAAATCCCAGGCAAGTTGCTCATTTTCTCCTTAACTTCCTTTTTTTTTTTTTCCTTCTGGTCATGGGGACTGAACCAAGGGAGCTACCTTCCCAGACTTTTTTTTTTTTCTTTTGAGGCAGGATCTTGCTAAGTAACTAAGTTGCCTAGGATAGGCCTGATTTTGCCCCAGCCTAGCCTCCCAAGTGTTAGGATTACAAGCATTTGCTATCATGCCTGGCTCTCTTCTCTTCAAATTTGTTAAAGTATACTGCCCCTGATACCCACATCTGACTCTACATGGGAACTGGGCCCAGCCCTATTTATAGGCACACATATTCAAAAGCCTTTCTAGAAATCGTTCTACTGGTGCATACTTTGCGCATGGCATGCAGCTTTGATGAGGTGCCGAGAGGGAGGACTGAAAAAGACAGCAGACTTTCAAAAGCAGAAACGATCTTTTTCTTTCCAAAATATGCAATTCAAAAGTCTCTGAAGTATGATTCAAACAATACTGAAGCTGATTATTTTAACAGTACACTGAAGGAGGGAGCACAGCTACTCCTCAGGCCCATGCCTGGGAGAGTCCTGGTGTACCAGGGCAAGTAAAGCAGAGCCTTGAACATAGGGAGTTCAGGGAGCTCAACCAATTTGGCTCGAATCTAATCACTGCCATTCATTCATTCACTCACTCACTGTGTGCTGGAGATCAAGTCCAGGCCTCATGCAGGCTGGGCAAGCAAGATAAGTTACTGAACTACACCTCCAGCCCAAATCCTTGCCATTTATTAGCAATAGCGATTTCCTCATATATGCTGAGACAGCACTGGCATTACAGACAAGTTTCAACTCTTATACAGATTAACCTTAATGACTGCACAAATTGCAATACCTATGTTCAGAAAGCCTGGCCAATGCATATTTTCCACAGGTGGAGTAGTGAGGGTCATCCAGGCAAGGCTGAGTCCATAAGAAATGCCCCTGTGGCTCAGTTTCTCACTCCCACCCCACCTCTTAGTGAAGCTTCCTCAACCTCCAGGAACTCCCACGCCTTCCACAGGACAAGCAGCCACACCACCTTCCCTGCCCCACAGAAGCTTTTGCAGCATTAGTTTGAAAACCCTCAATTTCCTGCCTATCTGCACCAAGAGTCTGGCTCATGAATCCCTTGATGGGAAGACCTTTGTGCCTCTAATACCTATTGCTGTATGCTGTTTCAAGACAGAAGACAATGTTTAGTGGATGAAAAACAACAAAACTTTCTTCTGGGACCTTTGGATCCCTGGGATTCAAGAAAGTTTTGTGGACCTTTAAAGAAAAAATTCTCATCCTGGGGCCCATGGATCCCACATGAGAATTATGAAGCACATAAACTATTAAGTGTAGGTTCATCTTCATTAAATTCTCTTAAAATCCAGAATCCTACAATGGTTACAAGCTGGGCATGATGGTGCACACCTGTAATCCCAATGTTCAGGAGGATGAGGCCAGAGGATTATAAATTTGAGCCAGCCTGGCCTATATAGTAAGTTAAAGGTCAGCTTGAACAACATAGTGAGCCATGACTCAAAAAACAAAAACAGGAACCAGTGCTGCGAGGGTGTCTCTTCATGCCTCTCACCATATTGTGTTTTCCCTTCTAGATTTGGTTCTGCCAAAATGAAACACCCATTCCACCCTCTTCTCATTTCTCTCATTATAATATACACGTGTGATGGGAGCAAAGGTCTCAAAGAGCAGCTAAATAATAAAAACGTAAGCATGTCCCTTCTGCCTGCTGACTTCCACAAAGAAAACACAGTTACCAACGACTGGATTCCAGAGGGGGAGGAGGATGAGGACTATCTGGACCTGGAAAAGTTACTCAGTGAGGATGACGACTATATTTACATCATAGATGCAGTTTCCCCAACAGACTCAGAATCCAGCGCTGGGAACATCCTGCAGCTTTTCCAAGGCAAGAGCAGGATTCAGCGTCTTAACATCCTTAATGCAAAGTTTGCCTTCAACCTCTACCGAGCACTAAAAGACCAGGCCAACTCTTTTGACAATATCTTCATAGCACCTGTAGGAATTTCTACTGCCATGGGGATGATTTCCTTAGGCCTAAGGGCACAGACCCATGAACAAGTTCACTTGGTTTTACATTTTAAAGACTTTGTTAATGCCAGCAGCAAGTACGAGATCATGACCATCCATAATCTTTTCCGTAAGCTAACTCATCGCCTCTTCAGGAGAAATTTTGGGTACACACTTCAGTCAGTCAATAACCTTTATATCCAAAAGCAGTTTCCCATCCTGGATGACTTCAAAACTAAAGTCCGTGAATATTACTTTGCTGAGGCCCAGGCAGCTAACTTCTCAGACCCTGCTTTCATATCAAAAACCAATGACCAAATTCTGAAGCACACCAAGGGCCTGATAAAAGAACCACTGGAAAACATAGATCCTGCTACTCAGATGATGATTCTAAACTGCATCTACTTCAAAGGTAAGAAGTAGCTTTACAGTTCTCAAAGCAAATTCACAATATACTTTTTGAGTACACAGGTAGACCAAATGGCAAGAATTGTATTCTAGCTATAATTTATCCAGGAAAACAAGATACAGGTCAACTCAGAGCCAAGGATAATCATGTGAAGGTGACAGCTACTGAACCCTAACTGTCTTTCATGATCACTGGATCCTCACCACATGTGAGATCACCATGGCTACCAGAGTCCGCATTACAAAGTCACCACAGCACAGAGAAGTAAGAGGATTCTCCCAGTGCACATGGCTAGTGGAGGGCAGTCAAGATTGGACTTAGGCAGGCCATCTCTAGCAAAATGTTATATTGGAAGAAATAATGCAAAACCTTTTTCATCATTTGGACAGCCTGGATTTGAGTTTCTTCATTTCTTTTCCTAATTACCAGAAAACAGAATTGGATATAGCTCAGTGGTAGAGCCCTTCCCTAAAATATGCAAGGCCCTCGGTCTAATTCTCAGTTACCACCACCCACCCTCCGCCAAAAAAGTATTAGAGCTGTTCAGGTGGAGTAACCGACATTAATACCTACAACTCCTTTTCAGAATACTTTTGCACCAACAAGCAGGTGGGAATGGCAAAATTAACCACAATTTGATTTTCTGAGCAACTCTTCTGTGCCAGTCAATAGAAGGGCACTTTGTAGCCCAGGCTGTTCTTGCATTCATCACCTTCCTGCCTCAGCCTCCAGAGTACAAGAATTACAGGTATTATGCTTGCCACAAACACACTCTAAAAAAATTTTTTCTCTGCAATAACAGGGATTGAAACCAGGGCCTTCATTCATCTCCAGCACCATCCCCGCTTTTGAAACAGAGCCTCACTAAATCACTAAATTGCCTAGTCTAGGCTCATACTTGTAATCATTCTGCCGCACAAGCCTCCCAGAGTGCTGGGATTATAGGTATGCTCTACCACACTACAAGGGCACTTTTTAAGGAGGCTTCTAAACTCTACTCCACACACACACACACACGATCCCTAGGAACAAATGCGTTTGGATTTCTCTGGGTGCAGTGGCACACATCTGTAACCCCTGACACAAAGGGGCCTAAGGCAGGGGGACCGCAAGTTTAAGGCCAGCCTGGACAACCCAGGGATACTGTCTTTAAAAAAAAGGAGTGGTGCAGGGATTTGTAAAATCCAAGTCTACTAGAATCCGGCCAAAAGAAGCCTCTAATTCATTCTCTGAACTGCAGGGCAGGCCCAAGGATGGCTCAGCATCAGAATTAATCACAGTAATTGCCTCCCTTTGCCACCAACAACCACCAGACACCAGTGAGATGAGTTGTGGAGAGGCCAGTGCTTCCAGCCCCAGCAGCTGTATAGCAAAACAGAGAGATCTTCCTGCTTCCTGCTTAACTGAGGTGGGACCAGGGCGCCTCCTGAATTGTCAGAACGCCCTCTCTGTGCCTAGGTTGAGGGCCCACCAGCAGCTTCAGGTGGGCTGCCAGGTAGTGCTAAAGAGGCCAAGACTGTAGAGCAGCCTAGGGTACTGAGATCTGAGCCCTGGGCTTCCACCTAGAGCCAGGTACAACACCAGGCACACTGTGGTGGAATCGAAGGCTGAGTCACAAACAGATTTGTGACAGAGACACTACACACACAAGCACACACACACACATACATGAACATGCATATGTCCTTTCTGTTACTGGTTGTTATAAGATTTGTAATTGAGCAAACAAAAGTCTAAATCCTGGCTTCACCAGACCCTGGGCAAGATATTCAGTATCTCTGTGACTCAACTCCTCAGGTTTATTATGGAGGTGATAACATCTACGGAAGAGAGCAAAAAAGAGAACAAAGAAACAGCCCAGCGTGTGGCAAATGGAAGAGCTCAATGAACTCCAAGTGATGGAAAGTATAGACTACCACATGAATATGACATGCCTATGGTATCATTGCCAGTGACATTTACTTTACTTTCAGAAGCAATTCATTTTGCTTAGGCATGACTTCAGAACAGGTCAGAACACTTTGGCAGTACCAAAGCCCTGGGTCTTATCAATCTGTCCGATACCCAAGTTACCCAAGCCCTCTTCCAGAGTTCAAGTCCTGGCCAGAGCTCAGAAGCAGGTGGCCACTTCAGTCAGCATGAGGATGGAGAATGAGCAGGGATGGTCAGTTTATCTCCTGAACATAGTAACCCATGTCACACTGAAGTCTACAGATAGCAAACTTATACACTGCCTTTCCCCATATTAGAACAGTCACCTAATCCAATGCTGGGATTCAGACAGGATCAAATGTTAGTATCACTCAATCTTCCATTAATGTTTCTCAAAGGAGAGAAAAGTATAGAAGTATAATTTTAATTTTTACCTTCTAAATCTAAATGTTAGTAATTTGATTTTAATTTCAAATGTTAGACTCAGTTTGTTAGAGCTTCTAATGGGCTTCTTTCCATCAGTGCTGGAAAAAGGAGTGATTACCAACAGGGCCCAGGGCAGACGTCTGAGATACTATACTTGTAGTTATTCTAACCCGAGGGGACAGAGGAAGCACAGCTGGTTTCTAGGGGTGTAAGGCCATGGATGCTGCTAAACAACCTACACTGCACAACATAACCTAATACCATACAGAATTATCTGGCCCAAATCTCAACAGGGCTGTAGCTGAGAAACCCTAGGTGAGGCAAATTCAGAAAATGCAGCTAAGCTACAATGACAGGTAGGCAAGAGTCATCTGGTGTTTAAACCTAGTCAAACACACAGTTGCTGGGAGCAGAAAATAAGATAACAGGTAAAGTGCTTAGATGAAGGCCTGGCTTGTTACCAATTGTCAACTAGTCCCAATTACTGTTAGTTACAAGCATCTTACAGCTAAAACAAATATGGATTTACTTCCGGATACACATCTAAATCTATAGGGAAGAGGCTGAGAGCAATATCACATCATTCATGTGTCCTGCCAACTACTACAGAATCACAGTGTGAGGGACAAAAGGTACCAGCACAGTGCTTAAAGAAGCTCCTCTGGCCACAAACAGAGCCAAAAGGAGCTACTCATTTTACAGATAAAGAGATAAAGGCCCAGGCAAGGTACAAGCCTTGGCCAAGGTCAAAGACCTATTTAGTGTCTGAATCTAACCCCCAATCTATCCAGTCTATTTAACAGCTCTTGACAAAAGTACAAATTCTCAGCTCAAACAGACCAGGGAATAAGAGACTCTGGGAATGGGCCCTGCAGAGACCCTCCCGGGGATTTGGACCATGCTGCAGGTAAGGACTATTGCTTTGAAGAAACATTCTAGTAACTGCCCTGCTCCTTATGACTTTATAGGATCCTGGGTGAACAAATTTCCAGTGGAAATGACACACAACCACAACTTCCGGCTAAATGAGCGAGAGGTGGTCAAGGTTTCTATGATGCAAACGAAGGGAAACTTCCTTGCAGCAACTGACCAGGAGCTCGACTGTGACATCCTCCAGCTGGAGTATGTGGGGGGCATCAGCATGTTAATTGCTGTTCCACACAAGCTGTCAGGGATGAAGACCCTTGAAGCACAGCTGACACCCCAGGTGGTGGAGCGATGGCAAAAAAGCATGACAAACAGGTACTTCAGGGTATTTGCTCTTTTAGTCTCCTGAAGGCTGCAGGTGTACAGGGTACTGGAACTCTCATTATATTTTTAAAATGACAGAAATATGCATAACTACCCAAGAACTGTCACACAGAGTCACACTGTTCATTCAGCTCCAATATCTTTGGTGAGAGACCACTTATGAGCAGCACAGTTGCTCCTCCCCAGGCAGTTTCAGAGGGTAGAGGCTTAGAGTCAGATTGGAAATAATCCCTGCTCTGCCACACACAGTACCTACTTTGTACTTCAAGCGCCAGCTTCATCAACCCTAAAATGAGGGGGGGGGGTCCATTAATTCCCAGGGTCAAGGTAAGAGAAAAAATAGAATAAGTAATGTCAATGTTAAGTATCTCCCTCCCAATGCCTGGAAGCTAGGAGGCATCCCTAAAAATTAGTTTTACCCCATCCAGTAAATTCTGAGATCCTCTTAACACACTGAGGACTCATCATTCATAATTTTATTCCATTATTATATATTACTCTTATTTACAATTGCAAATTTTAAAATGTTTACCGAGATTATTATTGGATCATGATAGAAACCACAGAGAGGTTGGATCACATTTCTGTTTTAAAGGATACTGGCTAGCCTATGTCAAGATATGAATCTGGAGGGCCAGGGATTTAGCTCAGTGGTTCCACCACCTGTCTCGCAAGCACAAGGTCCCAAGTTTGATACCCAAGTACCAAAACAAAAACAAAACGACATGAATCTGGTTTAGGGATTTTTATACAATAAAGAAATGCAATAAAATTGAGAAGCAGCCTCTTAGAGGAAAGTAATTTTCCCAGGTAACCTATCAATCAACAAGCCCTGTGGATATTTCCTTAGAAATGTCCCTTTTGCATCCACTTCCTTCCTGACCTCTCAGGCCATGACTTCAAAACAGCCTGCTTCCATTCCTAGTCTACCTGTGTACCAGTCTCCCAGGCATTGCCAGGACACCATTTCCATCCCACTCTTCTCAGAAACTCTGTGTGGACCCACAACCCACAGGAGTTGGCCTAGCTTCTTGGCCTGGCCCACAGATCTACCCTCCTGATCTAGCTTACTTAGGTCCTCCTCCCCTCTTCTCCCATCTCTCCAGTCAGATGCAAGGCCCCATTTTTCCTCCACCCAGCCACACCCTGAGCTCCTTACAAGTTTGTGCCTATCTTTTAAGCCTGGGACATTTTACTAAGCCACATGGATACCCCTTTTTCTACATCACTCTCCTGGACAATTCTAGTATTTAGATCTGTTCAGGTCATTCAAATATTAATGTAATACTTTCTGTTTTCACCAATTCACAAATGTGAGTCTTGGCCTGCCAAAAGGGTAGCAAACTTTAAGAAGTGGGGACTACATCTATATCTCTTTGTCCCCCACAAAATGCCAAAATGGGCCCATGGTACTAATACTTCTGTCCACCCAATTTTAAGACTTGAATGAATGGTTTGTGATAAAGACTGAAAAGATTTAGCATTACCTGGTGTGTACACACACGTACACACACACACACACACACACACACACACACATATTTCTTTTTTTAAGCATGCTGACCAGATATTCAATGTTTAAATTACCAAAATAAAAAATGTCTGAAGCCAGGGGACCAAAAGCCTTAATTTTATGAATAGTCATCCCTCAGTATTTTCAGAAGATTGGTTCCACAACTAGCCCCCACGGTGGATGCCAAAATCAAATCCCTCATATAAAATGGAGTATTTGCATCCAACCATATCCTTCTGTACATTTTAAGTCATCTCTACTCTGTTTATAATACCTAATAATGTAAATTCCATGTAAGTAGTTGTTGCATTATATTGTTTAGGGAATGATAGTAAGAGCAAAAAGTCTGTTCAGTACAGATATATAATTTTTCCCAGTTTTAAGCCTGTGGTTAATGGAACCTATGGATACAAAGGGCTGACTGCAACTGGAACTACAGTGGAGAAGTCTTTCCAAAATCCCCACTGAAAGTTCCAAGATACAAGATTTTTGGGGGAATACTGGGGATAGAACTCGGGACCTTGCGCTTGTAAGGCAGGCACTGGAACCACTGAGCTAAATCCCCGGTCTCAAGATATAAAAATTTAACAAGAGATATTCTGTGTCAATTCTGTAGTAAATGCATGGCATGTGTCCACATTTAATAGGAAAAAGATGACTACTTTGTAATTCATGGTTCAATAAAACTAGGTCCCCTCTTCTTCCACCGCTAGAACTCGAGAGGTGCTTCTGCCTAAATTCAAGCTGGAGAAGAACTACAATCTGGTGGAGGCCCTGAAGTCTATGGGGATCACAGAGCTGTTTGACAAAAAAGGCAACATGTCTGGAATCTCAAATCAAAAGATCACCATTGACCTGGTAATGGCTCCCTCCTGTGCACGGGTCCCCAAGGTCTGCCTCTGCACAGGCTCGCCTCCAGCCCATCGCCATCTAGTCTGACTCCCCAAGTCAGGAGAGGCTGAGAGTGCTCTCCTGGGCCTGGATGTGACACACAGTGCAGTCAATTCCACAGGTGCCAGCCAGTGGGATGGTGCAGCTGCCAGTTACTTAGTGGGCAGGGTGGTCACAGGAAGCAGGCTCGGGGTGAGCCCCATTCCTGCGAACACCCAAGTGAGGAGAGACGTGCTGTAGTCTGCAAAATAGCTATGCCCGGCCAAATTCTGGAAGACTCATTAAACACATACATAGAATCCACACTACACGTTTAACTTAACAAACCAACAGTAGGCACTCAGCCAAAGAGAAAGAATACCAGCCTAAATGTGGCAGATCCAGACCCCCATTATTCTGATGAATGTGTGCCCTAGACTTTGAGGCAATGGGGCACTAGAGTGACTGTCTAGGTTTCCAAGGCTTCTAAGGCTGTGGGCATGGCAAGAGCGAATGTGGTTCCAGAGCTTAAAGGTAAGTACACAGCCTCTAAGCAAAATTATCACACTTGGCAAGTGAGGAAAGATGCTGTCAAGGGCAATTCTGACCAGCTGTGATTTCTGCCTTATGTGTGGTCTTTGGGCCTTTACCCAGAGTGAAGTTAGACACCATCACTAACCCTCTGTGTACCAAGCTATAGATTCTGACACCTTTCCTTTCCAATTTCAAACAGTTCAAGCACCAAGGCACAATCACAGTGAACGAAGAGGGCACCCAAGCTGCAACTGTGACCACGGTGGGATTCATGCCATTGTCCACCCAAGTCCGTTTCACCGTGGACCGTCCCTTTCTGTTCCTGGTCTATGAGCACCGCACCAGCTGTCTGCTTTTCATGGGGAGAGTAGTCAACCCTGCCAGACCTTAAAGGGAAAAGCCAGGGTGTCTGACATGTCCTGGCTGGGACAAAGAAGACATAGATGTTTTGGCATCATAATTTCCATGGTTTATACTACAAATCTGAATCTGAAGCCCATGAGGAAGAAGAAATTTGCCAATGACTAAGGAGCCAGTTGGGATCAATTCTGCACAGTAACAATGCCCTAAATCCAAAGCATTGGTGTAATTTCTGTGCCAGCTGTTCCTAGATAGTCTTTGCAACAAACAGACCACCTCATCTCCCTCTTTTCTCCTCATAGCAGACCTATGTAGTGTACCCAAGCACCTCCTTTCTGCACAGCCCCATCCTTCCATATTGTATACAGCTCTGTTACTCAAGGCCTTTCTCCATCAGGGACCCTTAGATGAGCACAGATCACAGAAATGAACGTGTGACAGAGGGGGTCCAACTAGCACCATTTCCAATGCCCCAGGAGATGCAACTCTGAGACATGTAGCAGTTGGCCTGGGCACTGGGGCTTAATTCTTTCAAGGGCCCACCTTCCAAGTTTATGTAAATGTCATTTGCTGTACTTGTTACCCAGATGACAGAGTGTATACATGGCCATGTCTTCTACCCTAAAGAAAAATAAATATAGCCATATTTACTATGTATCTGTTGTAATACTTTTTTTTAAAGCTCAAGTAACAAAAGCCAAACTCACAAGAGATATATCTCCAGGATAACGGAAGGTTGACAGAGTCACTCAAGTGCTACACAGTAACTAACATGCTATAGCAGGGCTCCTTCTTGGGACCAGGAGAACCCTGGGTATAATTTTCTCTAAATGTCATACAAGCCAATGTTTCCAGTCTTTACCTGGGGTGCAAACTGGGCCTTTCACCCCTCAGATGTGCTCTTGTACCAGGTCTGGTTTAACAAAGCCTCTTGACATCCTAGCAATATGTTTCTGGATACCTTAAGTACCCAGGTAAGGCATCCAAAATCTAAAAAGATTGCTCAGAATGCAAAAAGTGAAAGCACACCACCACTGAAGGGATTCTCCACTGTATGGGAGCAGCAGTCACAGCTGTGTGCACATAGGCTGTCTCATAGGAATGCCCACGACCTGGTAAGACAAACTTCACCTTTCTCCCTTCAAAGGTAAGGAAGACAGGGCTACAAGGGTTCTGAACCCTGCCCAAGACGTAGTTGTGGAATGTGGTATGGTTGAGGTCACAGGCAGGTTGGCCTGATTCTAGTCACACAGGGAATCAACACAGAAGACCTCTGATGCGGTGAGTCCAATTCCAGCAATGGGAGCAGCAGAATGGTAGCACTGGAGGATCTGCTGACGCGATGCCACTGCCATGGTATGCCCGCGGGTCATCGCACTGAGAACTCCTAAGACTCTAGGAGGTCACATTGTTATCACTCCCTTTTTATAGCTAGGGAAGTGACTGAAGCTCACAGAAGAGAAGTGATTTGCCCTAGGCATAAATCTGAACACAGGTGGGTGAGCCCTAGAGCCTCCTTTCCTTGCCAATTCTCCTCATCTGCTCCTTTAGTAACTTTCTGGGCCAGCTCCTGCTCCAGCACTCTACTGAGAGAAGACCGTGCAAGACTGAAGCCGAATCTTCCTCTCACATTCTCAGATTCAGTGAAGGGTGACACTGCTGATGACCCACTCCTTTCATTCTTTCTCCTATGCTTCAACAATGTTTTGTTTTGTCTGTGGTGCTGGAAATGGAACCCAGGACTTTGGGTATGCTAGGCAAGAGCTCTAGCTGTCACTGAGCTACATCTCCACCCACTCTTTTTTTTCTAGTGCTTGTCCTGTTTTTCATCTTGTTGGTGACTCTTGCTCCCATTTCTAAACATATTTATCTCAAAACTCTGCCTTAGGAAGCCATGTGTAATGGTATACTCCTAGAGTCCTAATACAGTCACGGCAAAGACACTACTACCCCAGGAACAGAGGACAAACAAAGTTCTGGGCCCTTAACTGTTATTCATTAAAAACATGCTTTGTGTTTTCTTCTGAGGCAGTCAGAGCCTTAAAGTGGGTTTTACATCATAATTCTCCCTTTGAGGCTACAGATAGGTTACAATGAGCAACTAAAAGTAGAACAAAGCTTGACCTTAATTTTGTATACTTGCACATTGAGGCCATACTCTTAAGTGAAATAAATAGGACAAACATTTATTATCCTTTATTACTTAAAACTTTGGATATAGGTATGGCAATCATTCAGGAAAAGTTGGCAAAACACAGTGTATTAACCCTAAATTTATCTAGCCTATCTCATTCCCCTTCAAGACTGAGGATACCAAGGTAAGAATAACTAATGTAATCCTCAGGATTTGCAGGGACTTGTCAGCTTTGACAATGCCCAGGTGTAGACCCCCCTCCCTGGAGTGATGACTAGAAGTCTCCAAGCGCTGTCCTAAACCTGTAGGAAAAGCAAGGCTTCACATGACCAAGACTACTGCAAACAAAGACAAACATTTCATGGGAACAGTACTGCCCCTTAAGCCATGAGGGTTCCTCCCAAGCTACAAAATTAGGAATGAGATGATAATCAAACAGACCCCAGCAACCAAAATAGTATTCCTAAAATTGACCTCCACTCTTTCGTGAATGGGCTAATCTGACCCACTGCTTCATATTTATGTTCATTTTAATCCTCAAACTTAGTCCTTTTCCCTATCTTTTCTTACTTTTCATCATTAAGAGACCAGCTTGGGGCCAGGGATTTAGCTCAGTGGATCCTCTGACTGCCTCGCAAGCACAAGATCCTGAGTCTGCTCCCCAGTACGAGAGAGAAAGAGAGAGAGAGAGAGAGAGAGAGAGAGAGAGAGAGAGAGCGAGCGCAAATTGATTTTTGACAGAGCTATGCTGTTTTACTTCCTCTTACTTCCCAATTAAAGCTTTTTCCTGTAAATTCAAATTGCTGCTTTAGTTTTAATTTCCATTATCAATAAAGCATGCTAGCCAGTGACAGTACCAGCAACTTAGGTGGCTTATGCAACAGGATTTCTTAAGCCCCAAAGTTTGAAGCCAGCCTAGGTAACACAGTGAGACTCCATCTCAAAGAAACACAAACCTCTGTCACCTTCCCAGAAAGGGAATGGTTTCTCTTCCTGCCAACCTACCCTTCCTCCGCTATAGCTGATCCACACCCCTTTACAGGTCACAGTCCTCCAATCTTCATCATTTTGTTCATTTATACCCACCTCGAATCCCTCCAATTCCCTATTATAGAGATCCATTTCTCAAGGGAGTGGAGTACTAATTCAAAGCACAGGCTCAGAGCCATGCTGCCTGGATTTGAACCCTGGCTCTGACATCTAGTAGCTACTGATTTTGAAAGAAGTTCTGTGCCTCACTCTCCCTACTTGTAAAATGGAGATGGGAGCAGCGACTATCTCGCAGGTTGTTGTGAAAATCAGCTAATGTCTGAAAGGATCCAGATCGGTGCCTGATATTTTTAGCAAGAGCCAGGTAAAGATTTATCTTAATCTAAGACAGTGTCTCACCTAGAGGCTCCTGAGGGGCCCAGGATAGGCTTTCCCCATTTAACTTTCTAACGTAAAATTTATTTTTCTTTTTTGTGCTGCTGGGGATTGAACCCAGAGCCTCATGTGTACTCAGCAAGCACTCTATGACTGAGCCACACTCCCAGCCTAAATGATGCATTTCTTTTTTTTAGGATGTTATCATTTTATTTTCCCCCCATTAAGTTTACTGGTACATTTAAAGCAAACAATACAGTTACATTTATCATTGGGATCTTGTACCTTTATGTCTTGGTTCTTATTTTTGCCCCATACCCCCTGCCCTCCCTTCACCCCCTTCACCCTTCCCTGTTTACAAAATAGATGCATTTCTATGGAAAGGGAGTACATAGCTTTCAAAGGGTTCATGACCCAGAAAATGTTAATCCACAAACCTCATTGAGATGAAAGAGCATGCTGTTCCTAAGCTTTTGATAGTTCATAGAAAAGGAACCAGAATTTTGTGTTTGAACAACTTTATAAATAAAATTTTGTTGATATCTGCTGCAGAGAGAGAGAGAGAGAGAGAGAGAGAGAGAGAGAGAGAGAGAAATGAAATGCAGAGAAAAGAAGGGGCAAAAAGGGAAAAAGAAGATGGAATTAATAGGCACCAACTGGGACAGACTGCTCAGAATAAGCTGTGAACCCAGATCCCAGGCCATGGGAGATGAGCAGAGGGACTCCTGGGAGTTAGGAATACAAGTACACAGCTTCTCAACTCTGGTATGCCTCTCTGTGTATGCATACCACTCTCGCAAGAGTGCGGATTACAATCTTGCTTTCACTGCCTCTGGAATTCAATTTTTTGGGGGTCTGGACAAGTAAATTAATTTCTCACAGTAAGTAACCTATCCAAAACCACAAAAGCTGCCAATTACACAAGGAAGCTTGCTCTAATTATAGTATAGGGACATTTTTTGAGCATGCAGCGTATTTTATTAAACCACTATTTTATGACAGTGGCATGCTGAGGTCTCTGAACTTTAGAGAACTTTCAAAATGCTTGTTGGGTAAGGTGGCACATGCCTATAATCCTAGTACTCAGAAGGCGGAGGCAAGTCTGAGGCCAACCTGAACTACGTGTCATGAACTTGTCTTAAAAAAAAAAAAGCCTACCAATGACTAGATAACAATGAATGTAATCTAATCAATGATATTTCTGTGTACAAAGCTGCAAGACAAAGATGACCAAATCTAAGCAGGAAGGAGCCTCAGAGAACGTATGACTCAACCTCCCAGAGATTCTCTCCAGGTTCTCAAAGTCACTAAAAAACAGCTGCCTTAGGACCAAAAGCCAGGCTTCCTGCTCCAAATCCAAGAGGTCTTTTATTTATTTATTTATTTTGTTTGTTTATTTTTTGAGACAGGGTCTCACTATGTAGCTGAGGCTGACTTGGAACTCACTATGTAGCCCAGGCTGGTCTTGAACTCACAGCAATCCTCCTGCCTCAGCCTCCTGAGTGCTGGGATTATAGGCATGTGCCACCACGCCTGGCTCCAAGAGGTCTTTTACTCAACAAAGTAGTGACACTGCATTCTCAAAGGTCCAAAATAGTATATCTTCCTCTCAAAAAAAAATTTAAAAGTATTAAAAAAAAAAAAAGCCACTTCTGGAAATCAGTTTCTCCGCAGAAAGTCCAAGGGGTAACTACAAAGCAAATGAAGGAACCCATGAACCCTGTGCTCTTTGTTAAGCAACAAAATCAAATATTTGTTTCCTCCCCCATAATGTAACCATTAACTTTTGTTAAAAATATAACACTTACTCTATTCATATAAAAGCTTGGATAGGGGTTGTGTGTTTCTGAGCTGTCTCTGATAACTATTATACCTGCACTGATCCTGCACAGAGAGGCTCAAGTGTTCATGCACCTTCCTACGTGCAAGACCAAGAGTCCAGCCTTGGCCCTTGCAACCCTAAAACTCAAGGGCTCCCAGCAAACTTCATTCATCATTACTTCCCAAGAGTGCAACCCACAGGAAGGTTTTTTTATGCACTTATTAAACTCTAAACGACCATCTCTA